TCCAAATCGTTCCACATCATGCATCAGGAATTTTTCTGAGTGAATGTGTTTGGTAAAACCATCTTTTTGATAAAACAAAAAAAAAAACAAATGTTACAGCCCCCTGTATGTCTAGGGAAGTGGGGGCATAAACATATAGGCAGAAACTGGTAAGTTCTTATAAAATTATTTATTTGATAACAAGAGGTGCAAGCAATAAACAAACAAAAGCAGGGTGGTTGAGGGTGCTGTGAAAAAAACAAAGTTAAATAAAAGAGATCCTCAAAAGGAGGATTGTACCTAACTACAGATTTAAACCAAAAGGGGATTCTTACTAAAAAACACAGAGAGCACAGCACCCACTACACCTAATGTAACTAACAAAGAAAAAAACTCAGTGATGCATTCAGTCCAGACTCTGGCCCTACCTCCACCCTCTTTCTAGCATCAAGCTAGTAAAGATGCACATTAGCCAAACAGAACAAAATGCTTGACACAACCTAAGTAGCACAAACCCCAAATGGGTAACCAAAAAGATAAGAGAGCTACTCCACTAAACAAGCAGCTGCTAAACAGCAATGTTTGGTTCACACGAGTCAACTGGCTGTGACAAGCTGCCTCAATCAACAGGTGAGGTTTCCTTATGAGCAGGAGGTGATTGCAGGTGGTGATGAGCCATTGGTTGAAGGTGGAACTGAGGGAACCAATGGATGGGATTTAAGTCAGAAACCAGGAAGTAGGCGGGTCTTTCCACAGGACCATGCAGCCTACTTAGGCCCCAACCACACGAAGACGAACTCTGGCCTAAACGCACAAATTTTTCACCAAACCAGCCTCTCATCCATACGAAGCCGGCGTTTCGGGGGTCTGTAAACGATCTTTTTTTTATTCAGCCTTCAGAGTGGGAAGATTTCGAAACGGCGTTTTCGCGTTTCCATCTTTACGCTCTAACCGCATATTTTTTTTTACACGCATGCGTCATAGCGTCGCCTCTAAACACGCATGCGGGACAGTATCACAACAACAATGGCGCCGTTGCTGCTAATGCTACTCACCCTGCTGTCGGGCTTACAACAGAATCTTCTTCTTCTGGAATATCTCCAGGAAGAACAGAGCAATATCGACGACATAGTTCAGCACCTGAATTTGACTTAACCACGAAAATGGACCCGCAGGGCAACCATGTATAAATATTAGTGTGCATGCCCAACATTTCGTCGCTTATTTTTGCTTTGGCACCACAGCGCCACTTACAGGCCTGGCATACATTTTGCAGCGTTTTCATGCATTCGTGTGGACGACCACATTTATTTTACGTCTCCGTCTTTACGGCAAACGTTTTGGAAAATATCAGCGTTTCGTGTTCGTTTTGACTTCGTGTGGACGGGGCCTCAGTAGAGGTGAGAAAGAGGGAGAATAAAGAAAATAAAGGGAAAACACAAATATGACGTAACATTTTTAAATGATCACATTTAAAGTTTTGGAGTCAGAGTTGAGCCTTACAGGACTGTAGAGCATCGCTGAGCTATTTCACACAAATTCATCAAAATATTTTCACATCTGATTTAAACTGAATCAGCCATTTTTCACAAAGGGGGTTTGAAAACTTCTATTAGACTTAAAATGTTTGAAAGGCTTCAATGTTTCCTTACATTTTGCCTCCAGTGAGTCAAAGAAAGCCTAAAAAAGTTTGTTTTATTATATAAATTTTTTAAGCCCCTGAATGTTGAATCATTTAGTCTCATACTTGTTCGTCTCTCTCTCTCTCTGTAGAAGCTGTTCTTTCTCTTTCCATTGTTTAGTTGACCAACCCAAATGATTGGTGCACAAAATAGAGCAGTCTGCTCCAATACATTAAATTTGGTTATATTTGGATATTTTGGATTGTTTATCTACATTATTACAAAAAATAAATATGTATCCTCAGAACGAAACAAAAGATATGAAAATTTTAGTTCAAGGGTCCGAGTTTTTTTTTAATTAGGGATATGAAATGGAAACTTGAAGGAACAAAAGAGCAAAGTGTTCGCTCAAATTAGCAAAGTATATTGATCCACAGCTCTTTATGGCTGAATAATAGAAACATTGGTTTTTACTGCTTTTTTTTAACAAATAGTTTAAATGAATAGTTTCCTGGTAACAGGACTGCAGAGAAAAGTTGAAAACTTCCGAAACGAAACAAAACCTAAACAGAGTGAGGAGTCAGTCTGGATTAAAGCAAACTTTGTTTTTTGTTTTTTCATAGTGCAATAAAAATATTCATAGTGTGGAAGATGTAAATAAAATGGATCCTCTGCACTGCTGCTTGGATTTTATTAGAGAAATCATGGATTCCTATATAATTATAGCTGTGATGAATTCCCCGTCCTGCTGCTTTCCTCTGTGGCCTTCAACATCTTGGCCCCAGTGTGGGGATTCCCTATAGCAGAGGTCACGGATTAGCGGACCGCGGTCCGGATCTGGACCCAACCTGATTTAAAACATTTTTAAATTCCCGCATGTTGCGTGGTCATTTATAAATGTGTCTAATTTCACTTGCGCCGCTTCTCCTGTTAATATAGTAAAGGACCAGGCTGCATGTGATCCACATTATCCAATGAGCTGCTGTCAGTCTGGGCTGCTGCTGCTGCTACTTTTAGACACAGCAGGCAAACCTGTGGCAAGCCGGGCGATGGGAAAGAAGGAGAAGATGATGAGAAGAAGAAAGCAGAGAAAGTGAGAACTGCTGGAAGAACTGCAGTGAACTGGTGACAGAAAAGTGAAACGGCGTGCTCAAAGATGACCCTGCACATTTAGAGGATGTTTGGCTCAACCTGCTGCTGTGAAGCAGGATTCTCCACCATGAACAGAATCAAAAATAAATATGGATCCAGGCTCAAAATGAACACCTTGATATGTGCTTGAGAATGGTTTTGTCTGCATTCAAACCCAGGTTTACAGCCTTGCAGGGCAGCATGAAGCCCAATGTAAACATTAAGCCATAGAAAAGAAAGAAATGCATAACAGTTCAGGTGTTTTATAAAATACGTAAATGTTGTTCTCTGCTTCAAAACACTAGATTTTAATGTTCTTTTTTTATATCTTTATTTATAAAGTCAATGTATAACATGGATGCATAAACATCTCATTTTATTTTCAGTGTTAAATGCTGTTTAAAGTAACAGATTATAATTAAAAATGTCTGCGGATCTTTATTGGTTGATGATTTTCTTTATTCGGACCCTGCTGATTTTTAATTGGTGACCGCTGTCGTACAGGAAGACGTCACCTAACAGGCTGAACGATAGAACTGCTGCCCCTAATGTTGACGTATATTCTGACCGTCAGGTTCACCTCACTGTTTGACACGACTTTTCATTTCAAAGTCGTCTCTTCATCACAGTAGATGATTTTTAACTCCAAACTGATAAAAGTCCTTCTTCCAGTCATCCTTCTGACTTTTGCTACTGAAAGCTGTACTATTTACTACTATACTAAGCTCCTATCTTTGATTTCCTTCCAGATTTCCTTTCTGCTCCTGACTCTGTCTCGTTCTCCCTGCAGACGCAGTTTATTTCCTCCCCCCTCCAGAATCAGAGGGAGATCTCGTCTTTCTCTCTGTCTTTGTCCAATGAGCCCCCCCTCCGCTGCTCTCTCGCTTCTCTGAATCTGCTCTGTCTGCTTGACAGCTCTTACCATCTCTCTGTGCTGGGCTGTAAGTTTCCATTCACTTTCCCTGCACTCCTTAAACCTTAATTAGTGCATTTTCCTTCATCAGACGTCTGTTTGTGGACGGAGGAGAGCAGTAAATGATGAGCTAAGTGCTAATGGTGTCATGAATGTCAGCTATGTCCAACTGTTTTCAATTAGTCACAATGGTGTTAGAATGATCAAACATCTCCCCCTAGTGGTGAGAAAAATAAAACTTAAAATCAGACCTTCTTGTCACTTTTTGTTTGAATTTTGAGGAATATGTCTACATGTTGCTTCACTGGTAGGCTGTCTGTGATGTGTTGAGTCACCTTTCAGTCTCTGATCTTTTACAACTTTATAAGCTAGAATCCAACAAAGCAACTCATAAATTCATATTGCTGCCAGCAGAAAAATGACATTGTATTGATAACTATTCCATTTTTTATTTTAATTTTGTTAAATTGTTCTTCCTTCTCCCCCCCAAGGTTGGTAATGATGTTCGTAGCGACATCGAGAGCAGCTCGGATGAAGAAACTGAAAACACTGAAGGCCACAAGCGCTCTGCTCACAACAGCAAGGGAGAAAACGGCACCAACGGCCACTGCGCCGCAGCCAAACCTCGAACGCACAACCACACCAGCTGGTGACGAGGAGCTGGGAGCGCCCCCTGCAGCTCATTCCTTCACAGCATCTCCAAGAGCTTTGTCCGCCTGGCCTGCAAGGCTCTCCCACATCCACGTATATTTACACTGACAGCGTGCACGCACCGATTCATGCTCGTGAACAGGATGGATGTGCGGACACTGACTGCGTTGGCTGTAGAGAGCTGCTTGAAGACGCGGTTCTCTACAGACGACGTGCAAAAATCGAATCAAGCTCTTATTTCTCCAGGCAGTGAGACTGAGTTTGCAGAGATTGGTCGTTTTAAATGTTCTCTCCCAGTTTTATTGGTCAGATGAACTTTTTATTTTATGTTTTGTCTTGAAGGGTTTGTTCACAACAGTTTGCACGGAGTAAACGTTCCCCAGCAAATATCAGTCATCCTAAGATGAAAATGAGTTACAGCCGGGCTCCTATGGGCTAGAAGAAACAACAGCTGCTGCATGAGAGAAGCATTACATTGGCAGTGCTGCAGAATGCTGTGAATGAACTCTGAAAACACATTGTCTACTTTGTAACTTTTACTGTTTTTACTACTTCCTCCATGACCAAATGTGTTTTTAATTGTTTGTCACTGCCTGAAGAGTTCAAGGAATGATTTGTTCTTCAATCCATTGTGCAAATGTCTTTTCAAATACATCCTGTTTGAAAATGTCTCTTTCTGCACCTCTGTGACAAATTGCTGCACGTTTTCATTCAAGGCATTTTATTATAATACAAACCAAAACGGGCATCCTGAAACACAGCAGATATGAGACAGGCCACCGATGCACATGTTACCTAACAGATTGTTTGGTTAAATGTTATAAAACAAATAATCCTCATGAGGTGACCTCATGGAAATACAGAACAATCATAGAGGAATCCATCTCTGCCATTCAGAGACAGACAACAGGAATGGGAAATGTCCGCTGCAGCTATGGTGACGTCAGTCTTTGATGATTTCAGGGTCCTGGTTCTCTGCTGCCAGTTTCAGCTGTTTCTGCTTTTCAAAGTACCGGTATCCTCGCATCGCACAGAGGTAACCGCCGTAAGCTGTCAGCAGCATCATCGAGGCAGAAAAGGCCCGATAGCCGATATCAGCCAGACGTTTTCCCGTCACCATGATGAGGAGCCTGGAGGAAAACAGAAGACAGATCAGCTTCAGCAGATGGATGATTATTAAAGTTTCCTCTGCTGCTATATTTAAAATATTCACAGCAAGTTTACACCTTTAAAGTTTTTTTTAACATCATTTCAATAATTTAATCAAATGAGGTCAATTGGAGGAATCACATTCTATTAAAGTATACAATTTAGACTAAAAGAAGGAGATCATTTAAGGTAAGAAAAAAAAGTCAAGGTAAAATGATTTAACAAATTTTAAAATAAGTTTTGGTAACAGATTTTAGTCTGTATTGGTGTATAGCTAAAATAGTTCAGATCTTTTAACATTATGTAAATAACAAAATTTAAATGTTTAATATCCATCCATACATAAAGAATATTTCAGTAATTTAAAGTAATTTAGGCATCATGAGGATATTTAATTAGCTTGATTAGAACACAACTTAAGGGGGAAAAGAATTATTGGACATAAAATGAAGTCAAGCACTTTGAAAAGCTGCTATGACCCCTTATTGTGTGAATTAAAGCAATGTGTCTAAACTCAGGTGGTTTATTATGACAAAAAGCCTGAAAATCACACATCTACGACTCCAAACTACTGGAAAATTATCTTCACAGCTCCAGCAAACAAAGTCAAACTGTTTCGCTACAGCAAAAAATAAGACAACATTCTCAAATATAATAGCATTTTCTTACCTTTGGTAATTCAGAAAAGCAGCCGCAATAAACAGTTAATTCTTCGTCCAATGTCAGCAAACCAGATATTTAGCCGCCTGCTAACTAACCTTCGCCTTCATAACAAGCGGAAACTGGAGCTCCGAGCAAAATGAACACTGGCAGTGACGCAGCATAGCGCCCCCTGCCGACCAGGAGTCCACATTAATAATAATAATAATAAAAAAATAAAATAAAATATATATATATATATATATATATATATATATATATATATATATATATATATATTTGAAGAATCAAAGTATTACAAGGCATATCAAGAAAAAATATACAAAGTTGTAAATTGAATATCTTAGGAAGCTAAGCAGAGTATGTATAATATATAACAAATAGAATCATACAGAGAACCTATATACAATTAAAAAACAAAAGTAACAGATCATAGAACAAAGTGATTAAAAGAAAAAAACGACAAAAGGTCTATTTAATTTTAAAATAAATTCAAATGATACAAAACTGAAATAAGTGAGAATTTAATAAATTACTATTTAGTTACATAAAATTTTGAGTTTAAATTTTCGTTTTTCAAAGAAAAGCAAACTATCTCAGACAAATTAAAGTACTTTGCTGATGAACAGTGAACCAACATACCTGCGAACAGCTGCAGAAGTCTACATTAACATTTTCTGAACAATATATATATAAAAAAAAAGATTTGTTCCTAATTTGTCTTTTTCTCTCACTAGTTGAACAAATGTTTTTTTTTTTTTACCAATAAATTAGGATCTATTAACCCTTTACAATTGTAATCATCATTATTATGAAACTGGCTATTAATATTTATTGAGTCAATCTTCAGATAATTTCATTGTTTTTATTTGACCTTCAGGAAAATTATATATATATTTTTTTAGAATATCTATTTCTTTGATTACATTTTTCGGTTAGACTTTCGACTCAACAACGATAAAAGTGACACTGGAGATTTGTTTTCAAAATGATGTTGGCCGACCATTAAACATTTTTCAAAAATTAAGTATGTTTGCCAAGTTTAATGACAAAAACTGTTAATTTACAAGAAACACAATGTATAACCATTTAAATAAGAATATTTATCAAATCTAACTAAAACTATGACAAAAGAAATGTTTTCTGTTGAACTTTTAAATCTAACCCTTGCATTCATCTTAACTTTAATATCACCCAGTAGTCATATTGAGCACTAATAATTCAAGGGAAAATATGAAATCGAAATAAAAATATATGATTTTTTTTTCTTAAAGTGAAAAGTCCAATTTTATCATTTGAACATTCCCTTTTTTATTCATATTTTAATAACTGCACAAAGTAAGCTGTATTATATATAGCACATGTGTTTTAAAAATAAAGATGAAAACCATTTAATCTTTAAGTATCGAATTACTCTGTTTAAATAAAATATTAATAAATAATGTAACCACATTTTTCTCAGAATGCCCACAGTATGTGAGGAACCGAACTACCGTTACGATATTTCTACCCGGAATCTTTTATCAGACGCACACGTAACGATGGCAACATGTCCGTGCGATAAAGACCCTAATGAAGATCTAAAAGACCCCGGTGCTGCTCCTTACGGGAATTTTATTAACTATTACAGTTTTAATCCTCCAGAAAACCGCCTGAAGCTGATTCCAGAAACGCTCCTGCGGGATTTAGGTCACGGTGACGTGGAAGATGAGCCCACGCTCATCCTGGACGTGGGGTGTAACTCAGGGGTGCGTGAGTCTGGACAACTTCCGGTTTCATGGTTGCCTTAAAAGCACATGGCGATGGTTGCTATACAGGTGCTGGTCATAAAATTAGAATATCATGAAAAAGTAGATTGATTTCAGTAATTCCATTTAAAAAGTGAAACTTGTATATTATATTCATACATTACATACAAACTCATATATTTCAGATGTTTATTTTGTTTAATTTTGATGATTACAAATGACAACAAATGAAAATCTCAAATTCATCATATCAGAAAATTAGAATATTACTGAAGACCAATAAAAACAAAGGATTTATAGAAATGTTGGCCAACTGAAAAGTATGAACATGAAAAGTATGAGCATGTACAGCACTCAGTATTTAGTTGGGCCTCCTTTGGCCTGTATTACTGCAGCAATGCGGCGTGGCATGGAGTCGATCAGTCTGTGGCACTGCTCAGGTGTTATGATAGCCCAGGTTGCTCTAATAGTGGCTTTTAGCTCTTCTGAATTGTTGGGTCTGGTGTATTGCATCTTCTTCTTCACAATACCCCATAGATTTTCTATGGGGTTAAGGTCAGGAGAGTTTGCTGGCCAATTAAGAACAGGGATACCATGGTCCTTCAACCAGGTACTGGTAGCTTTGGCACTGTGTGCAGGTGCCAAGTCCTGTTGGAAAATGAAATCTGCATCTCCAAAAAGTTGGTCAGCTGCAGGAAGCATGAAGTGCTCTAAAACTTCCTGGTATGTGGCTGCGTTGACCCTGGACCTCAGAAAACACAATGGACCAACACCAGCAGATGACATGGCACCCCAAACCATCACTGACTGTGGAAACTTTACACTGGACTTCAAGCAACGTGGATGAAGTGCCTCTCTTCTTTTCCTCCAGACTCTGGGACCTTGATTTCCAAAGGAAATGCAAAATTTACTTTCATCAGAGAACATGACTTTGGACCACTCACCAGCAGTCCAGTCCTGTTTCTCTTTAGCCCAGGCAAGACGCTTCTGACGCTGTCTGTGGTTCAAGAGTGGCTTGACACAAGGAATGCGACAGCAGAAACCCATGTCTTTCATACGTCTGTGTGTGGTGGTTCTTGAAGCACTCACTCCAGCTGCAGTCCACTCTTTGTGAATCTCCCCCACATTTTTGAATGGGTTTTGTTTCACAATCCTCTCCAGGGTGCGGTTATCTCTCTTGCTTGTACACTTTTTTCGACCACATCTTTTCCTTCCCTTCGCCTCTCTATTAATGTGCTTGGACACTGAGCTCTGTGAACAGCCAGCCTCTTTAGCGATGACCTTTTGTGTCTTGCCCTCCTTGTGCAAGGTGTCGATGGTCGTCTTTTGGACAACTGTCAAGTCAGCAGTCTTCCCCATGATTGTGTAGCCTATAGAACTAGACTGAAAGACCATTTAAAGGCTTTTGCAGGTGGTTTGAGTTAATTAGCTGATTAGAGTGTGGCACCAGGGGCCATCAATTTTGAACCTTTTCACAATATTCTAATTTTCTGATATGATGAATTTGAGATTTTCATTTGTTGTCATTTGTAATCATCAAAATTAAACAAAATAAACATCTGAAATATATGAGTTTGTATGTAATGTATGAATATAACATACAAGTTTCACTTTTTAAATGGAATTACTGAAATCAATCTACTTTTTCATGATATTCTAATTTTATGACCAGCACCTGTACTTGGGGGTATTTTATAGATAACATTTGAGTTAAATGATGGTTAAAATAATGTCAACGCAGTAATATCTTAGCTGAAAACATTTGCATGTTTTACTTCTACACTGTTTAGTGGGTTTATATTTATTTGGCTGCAAAATACAACTGACTGTATCATTTCTAGCCTGCAGTTCAACTAAAACTCTCCTTGAAGAGTATTTGAATAAAAACTGTTTCTATATTATTTGATATTCATTTTCAGTCCATTTTTAAATAATCTGACATATTCAGATCAATGACCAAATTATCTTTAAAGCCACTTTAAGATCTATAATTCAATTCCCATTTAATAATATGGAGAAAATGAACATTAACTATCAAAGGAAACTGAACTGTAAATGGTAAAATGTTTTATTTTTATTAATTTAGTTTTTGTTTTGTCTCTGTGTGGACACCAGGAACTGAGTGTGGCCGTCTACAAGCATCTTGTACAGAATCCAGAGGAAAAGTCCCAGAGGAGCACAGTTCACCTTCTTGGCTTTGACTTGGATGGAGCTCTAATAGAGCGTGCACAGCAGACCAACCCTCTGCAAAGGAACATCTCCTTCATGCAGCTGGACATCACTGAGGAAACTAAGCAGCTCCAGGACTACCTCAGTCAGCACCGGTGCTCCCACTTCCACCTGTGTCTGTGCCTGGCAGTCACCATGTGGGTCCACTTGAACCACGGAGACTCAGGCCTCCTGCAGCTGTTGTCTCGCCTGGCCTCCATAAGTCAGCACCTCCTGCTGGAGGCTCAGCCCTGGAAGTGTTACCGCTCCGCAGCTCGGCGCCTCAGGAAGCTGGGCCGCACCGACTTTGAGCACTTTAAGACTTTAAAAATCCAGGGTGACATTGCAGAACATGCCAGGGAGCACCTGGAGAGGCACTGTGGCATGGAGCTGATGAGGAGCTTCGGCAGCACAACATGGGACCGCAAGCTGCTGCTGTTCAGACGGAGACAAGCTTAAGAGACGCTTCAGGAGAGTCTGGAAAACAAAAATTAAATGTCTGATGAGTTTAATTCTAAAGAGGATTTTCATTTTAATATTAAGGACGAGGTTTTAAATCAAACCTTTCTCAAAGCTTTACATAGAATACATGAAAACCCCTGGTGTGTGTTTTCTAAAAATTATTAAGTATTTTTCTTTCTAAATTTTGATTCTGAAATCTGTTTAACTGCTTGTTTTTTTTATTTATACAATAAATAAATTATTAAGCTTTTGAAAGTTTTCCTATATGTAGTTAAGTGTTATCTTTACTCTGTAGAGCCAAAGGATGAATGGTCTTCAACTGTGTGCCAAAACACTGAAATCTATGTTGTTCAGAATAAACTACAATATTTTTATATCCTCCAATCTTCATTAATTTCAATCATTCATAAACCAGATTATGATCCACTCAGATTTATTGTTTATTTTAGGCAAGTTTATCAAATAACTCAAGCTGGCAAAAAAAAAAAGAAGTAAAGTACTGCAGGCTAATAGCAAAAGATCTCTTGTCTAAAATATGTAGAACAATCAGAAATAAACTGGAGCTCATTTTAAACAACATTTTATTTGGTATACACTCTGTGTATACCAAATGATAAAAGTTGTCAAAGTGTTTTCGGGTGTTACACTATGGATAAAGTCTTCACATCCCTGCTGACATTTCCAGATTTGTGTTTATGTAACTAAAGGGGATTTAAGAATATTCTCCACCTTAAAGGTATAGTGGAGGATGTTTGCAATTTTTTGAAAAGACCCACCTTCTTCAATAAATAAAAAAAAACAACAACCCTGTAACTGCTCCGGAGAGGGAACGACTATTAAAGGTGTGCGAGAGCATGCATGCTGTTTAAAAGTTGCTGTTTTCATTGTTTATACAAGCTTACTTACCAAAAGATGATTTATCATTTTTCCACGTCAGACTCACAACCAGTAAGTGAAAATGCTCGTATGAAGGCCTTACATAAACATTTCATCAGAATGATTGACAATTATGAGGGCCACTTAATTTGATGATCCATCCGGAAAAATGATGGGTGAACGGTGACCTAGTGGTTTGGACATAAAGCTCAGAATCCTTAGTTTCTAAGTTCAAACCCCACTCCCACAGTCTGCCACTCTGAGCAAGACCCTTTACCTCACACTGCTGCCCAAGCGGATGGAATAAATGAAGAGGTAAATTTCTCCAATGTGAGATCAATAAAGTTCAGTTATTATTCAATTATTAAAAAAAACATCCTCCAGTATACCTTAAAATGAAACATATATCCAGTGCAATTCAACAGGGGCATAAATAATATTTATATATATACAAATATTGTGTCTGCGTGTCTGGGTTATAAGATGCAGGATTACCCGAATTTAAACAAAAGGCATCATAAAGCCAGCCTCCTTTCAAAAGCCTCGGGTAAATAAAGTTGTTTTTGTCAGTTTGCAACATTCTCAGAGCTTTCTAAGCATTGAAGCTGTTCTCATCAAAAATATCAGTGGATCTGTACTCTGATGCCTCAGATAAATACACAAGAGAGAGGAGAAAATAAGGCTGACTTTTCCAAGAACCTGACTTCCCTCCACAAATCTGTGACGAGACAAATGATTAGGAAGGTTCTGCAGAGGCCTGGAGAACATTTCCATCATTCTTTGTAAAATATTCAAAAGAAATTCATATTTAATGATGTAATAAAACATAAAAATTTGCAAAGGTTGGATTCATAAATAAAAAAAATCAGCACAAGGAAAAATTCCTTTTTAAACTAAACGTCGTGTGAAGCTTTGTTCATCATTGTATAGCTTTTAAACGTTTATAAATTAAACTGTCATTGACAAACATCCTCATTAAAGAGCGCAGTGGGATCAGCATCTTCTCTGCTGGCGATTTAAAGACACAGTACGGAGCAAAACCTCCATCCCTCTGCTAGAGATGAAGGGAAGCTTCACCTTCCAGATTAACAACAAAACTAATCAAATCTGCACATTTTGAGAATCATTATTTATATTTCAGATAAGAGCTGATTAAACATCTGAGTTAATCTGACAGCTTTGCACGTCAGACGTCCTCACATAATTACAATTATTTTTTTGAGGTTTTACCAAACTTTGATGCTGCTCTGTCCCAACCAGATCCATCTAAAAAATAAAAAAACAGATATTCCATTCACCAATGAGGAAAAAAAGACACCCCACTATTTTCCATCAGTTTAATTACAGAATACTAAAAATAACATTACATAAAATGTCTTTTTAAAAGAAACCATTGAATATTACAAAGGTTGTAAATCTTGTAAAGTTAGGATATAAAATCTTTGAATTGTGGTGCATAATTGAAAAAGAAAATAAATTTCATAAAATGTATATATTAACTGTTCTACTACATATAAAAAAAAAATGAGATGGGACACAAAATGCAGACAGACGAGATGAGTGGACACCGCCATTACTGCGGTGAGCTCTCCTTTCAAAGGAAGAAAGACCCGAGATGCACAGAAAAAACCCACAATCAGCGCTAGTTTTCAAATGATGCTCAATCAAGAAAAAAAAAAAAAAAAAAAGAAGAGGGGAAACAATTTACAACAGAACAACTGAGCTCCAGAGACTGCAAAAACAAAAAGTGACTTGGTGACTGCTCCCAATATTCACACACATCTCCACTAAACTGGCCTTGGTTCCATTTACATACTTTTTCTTTTTTCGAAGGTTCACACTGTACAGAAAATCGAAAAAAAAAAATAATAAGAAACTTGGAGAAACCTCATATTCAATCATCCGACCAAAATAAGGAAACTTGATCAGTCTCTTAACACAGCCGGCGTTATTTTCTACTGAGCGACCATTCAGTCGGAAGTGAGACAGACGCTACATGAGGGGAAACATGCATCGTCCAAAACTGTGCTTTCTGCTCTCTGACTGTGGAGCCACCGTGCATCACTTCATCGTGAGCCCTTGTTTAAATTTCACCGATTATTAAGAAAATTCGAGAAATCAAAGAATAAAAACCGGAGAATATTCAGAACCCGTTTCTCGTCGCAGCGGCCGATTGGATCAAAACGCGCTTCTGCCCTGTGGGACAGAAACTGCCTCATTGGTAACAGGGACAGATACGCTTTAATCCTGCTGAGTGGTAGAATCACTGCTCTTACCGGGCAGCAGTTAGTGGTTTCTGTGTCCCATGAAGGGAGAGAGAGAGTGATATGAACGCAAGGGGAACAGATAACCAAGAGGAGCGCTCAGACAAAAAAAACGGACATCTGAGACGAGTGACCAGCAGAGCTGCCCGTTTCAGCTGGTCTGCTGCTGGGACAGCCGGAGGTCTCCAGCTGTCAGCTTCATAATGCTGTTCAGGTTCAGAAAAGTCCCCCTGAGTTAGTGCACAGAGCCCTGCAGGCCTCAGCCCGCTGGTCTGCAGAGAAAAAAACACATGAAGAAGAATTTAGAAGGAAAAAAAAAAGCATCTGAATCAGCTCAAGCTTGGAAATCACTTTGGAGGAGGTAAGCCCGGCTTAAGTTCATTAGTCTGTTTAAGGTGGGTGTTAATGTGGATGAGGGAGGGGGAAGGGGTCAGGCTTAAAGCAGCCACCCGAGTCCAGTTCATTGTTCCAAAAACTCTGAGAAGAAGGCTTGTTTTCATTTTCATGTGCGCTTGCTGCAGCCCAGCCAGAGACGGGCTTTGTGTCGTCTGAGAACCTTTTAGCTTTCTGAGTCTCAACCTGAACATCGGTCCTGATCTCCAACGGGTTCAGATCCGCCCTAAAGGCCAGTGGTTTGGGACCTGGTCGGGTGCTGGTGTCAAAGGTTACGGTGCGTCGGTCAGGCAGACAGGTAAGACAGGCAGATGGGCTGCGATGCAGTTTGAAGGAGGGAGGGCAGGGGGGGTTAGATCAAAGGAGCCGTGTCCATCAGGCCTTTGTTCGGGTCCTGGCTTGCGAAGAATCGGACGTCCCGGTCCTTGTCAGACTGCAGAGCCATGACGGTCTCTTCCAGCTCGTCGGCATAGGGACAGCCCGGCTCCTTAAAGTAAGCTGGACACAAAATGCGGTTAGCAGGAAGTGGCGCTGATGAAGCACAGAGGTTCTACCTCCTTATTAGGAACAGTATAAATAAAAACAATGTCCCGTACCTTTCTCCATCACACTCTGCCTTAAAGCCTTGGCCACCAGAACGCGGACATTAGCCACCGGGTCAGAGGACAGGCTGAGCAGGCTGGGCAGGAGGTGCTGGCTGAACTGATCCATGGGCATGCAGTCCTCCTCAACAATGGCCTTAAGGAAACACAAAAACACGTCAAGCACCCAGGAAGGAATATTTATGCAGCAAAGATGTAACAAAAAAAAAAATCTAATCCAACAGGTCAATCAACAAATAACTTTCTACCACATTGTTTCCGCGTGAGCAAACAGATGATGGTGAACGCATTCTCACCAGCCTGGGGTTTATGTAACGCTGACATGACATAAACTACCAATAAAAGACAGTTAAAGGTGCTGAAGGAGATCTTGGAAAAACGGTTCAAGTAAGCGATATTTTTGAACATGCACAACCTCCCTTCAGACCACTCCTTCAAAACACATGAACGCGCATTCTGTCTGCAGCGCGTCTAGAGCAGCAGGAGCATCGCTGATGATGCAGATCGCTATGATCACTCCTCTGAAACAGTTTATTAACAGTAAATTAACTTAAAATGCCGAAAAAAAAAATAACGACTCGCCATTATTGGTTCCATCCCGATAGCGGAACCAATAAAGCGTTGTTGCGGCCTGGACATTTGGGCGATGCGCCATTTACTTTTTGTCTGGAAAATATGAGAAAGTGTAAATGTAACCAAAACTGTCTCCAGCCAAGAGTTTTCTCCATGGCTAAAACCAGGGAACATACATGAGGCTCAGTGGATTTTGTGCAAGAAGCAATTCAAGCTCGGAACGATGGGAATTAAGGCAGTGGAGTCGCATGCAAAGCGCGAAACACAAAGCTTCAAAATGGAGTTACCGAGAAACAGCCGGTATTTCTCAGTTTAGTTCCACCCTTGTCTCTGCAACGCCTCCACTTATCACCAAATCAAACATACTAAGAAAACAATACTAAGAAAAATAGCTGCAAAAAAGACTTAGCACTGGTTATGTTGTGGCTTTAAAACTGATTTGTTTTGTTCCCTGCTAAAACAAAGTTTGTGAATTCAGTTTAATAATTGTTAAAATATTTCTGTCATTTTGTGTTTTTAGCTTTCTTCCTGTATGGGAAGCTTTTCAAAATTTTAAACATTAGTGCAATGGTTTATGTTAAAATAAACCTTTGGGTTAAGTTGTCGCAAGCGGGTTTTTCTTTTGTTTCTTGTGAATTTGGTCTTAAATTTTTATTTATAGTGGCATTAAAAAGGCTTAAAAAGTCTTGAATTTAACTTGCCTTATGCTGAAGGAACCCTGGTCTCCTTTCTATCTCCTCTTTCTTTCATCTTTTCTCTTTTTTTTTTCTTTTTCTACTT